TTTTGGTTTGATCTTAGGAGCGCATTCTTCGTGTGCTAGCACTTCAATGCATAACCTACTATGCCACCAGAGCTGCTTCACAGGTAACTGGTACTTAATACATGTTTCAAAATCCAGGAATTAAGGAATATCAGCGCTCACAAGTACAGCTTTTTGGTAGTACAAATCCGCGCTCACAAGTACCCTCTACAGTTTTTTGGTAGTACAAATCAATGTCCATTCCAGCAACAGCCGGCTTATTTTGCCTTAAATCATTCACACCAATTATCGCCATGTAATTATCTCATGGTGTGGAATAGAAAGGTTTAAGAACTGCACACCTGATGTGCCAATAAAACTGCTTTTTAAAAAAAGAACTGCACACATTCCCTTTATTGAGTAAATATGTTTTAACAAAAATTTAAATGATGTGTGATTTCTCTTTATGTAGTGTTAGTTTTTTTGCTCATATTCATATGGAGCTTTTTGGATGTTCTCAAATTTACCATAAAACTGAAAAACTCTAAGAAGCCAATATCGACAATTAAAGAGTTCCTTACAGAGGGGAAAACTGTAGCGCTAATAATTTGTAATAGAAACAATGATCAATTTTACTTCATTGGACTCTAACAAACCAATTATCTATGTTTGCTAAAGATCAAAATGTTATGTAGTTCTTTTTAGTGAAAGACAGAAAATCTAAGTTTGATCCCTCTATACATTCTTCATTAATTATTTGGGGTGTGGTTTATAAATAAAACCAATAACTTGGATTAGAACTAGATTTCTACATGAAATTTGAAGAACACTTTTTCCATTCCTAATATTCCCGCTTTTATATCGGGGGGCAGGGAGACAAATATTAGTATTAACATAAAACACAAAAATAAGGTAAAATCACTATGAATTAACAGCAAATAAATTTTAAGGCCAAGAATTTTTTCCTTATTCGCTAAGCAAAAAAATATCCAACCAAGAAGTTGGTAATTGCAGTATTTTTCTGACAACTAAAAGAATATGAAAAAAAGATTTTCTAAGATTCTAAAGGAGAAAGTCAGCTATGTGAACATCCAGAGAAACAGAAATAAAATCACTCACAAAGAATGACATTATATATAACTTTTATTTTGTTAAATACAGTTGACAAATGTCTTACATATATTGTTTGCTACAGATTCCAGTATTTCCAGATACCACTTGACATTCCTTAAAGATGATACATAACTTAATAAAGCATTTAACTCACATGTGCCAAATGCAGCAAAGGGTCTTAAAAATAGAAGTTTCTAAGTCAATATTCATTGAGAGACATCAGCAAATAGATCTGACCTTTTCAAGCGGCTTTCCCAAGGAGGTGCCAATCAGTTTCCAGTCATTCAAGACTTCTTCAACTTTTGATATGAACCTAGGAGAGGAGAAAAACTTTATCCATATGTAAGGCACATCTTTGCCTATTGTCAGGCATTTTTTATGAAAGGAACTTAAAATAAAAATTTTGATGACAAAAATTTAGTTCTTTTAGCCTAAATTACGAATGTGGGATAAAGCAAAAACAACCTTCTTTAGCCCAAGAATCCTAAGAATTTAAGTATA